CACTTCTATTCAATGTGGAACAATTTTTCTTTTATTTAAGCCTTCTATAATCTCTGGCTCTTTTGTAGTTTTTATTTTCTTCAAAGTATTAGTACAAATAAAAATAAATAAAAGGTATCCAGATTGGAAAAGTAAAAGTACTTTTATAGACAGTATGATCCTACACATAGAAAATCCCAATGATTCTGCAAGAAAACTTCCATAGCTAATTCGGGAATTTAACAAAGTTGCAGGGTACAAGAGCAACAAACAAAGTTAACAGCTGAAACTCTATACACCAGCAATGAGATATCAGAAAGAGAATTTTAAAAAACATTTACAAGAACATTTAAGAGAATGAAATACCTAGGAATAAATAAATCTAACCAGGAATGTGAAGGACTTACACACAATAAAAACAATAAAACAGAAACAGATTAAACAAGACTTAAATAAAAGATGTTACATTCTCATGAATTCAAAACAGAAACAGATTAAACAAAACTTAAATAAAAGATGTTACATTCTCATCAAAATGCCAATACTACTAAAAGCAACCTATAAGTTCAGCATAATCCTGATCAGAATCCCAAAAACCTCACTTACAAAAATAGAAAAATAAACCTAAATTTTTCTATGTAATGCCAAGAGGCTCCGAATAGCTAAAACACTGTTGCAAGAGAATAGAGAAGGAGAACTCACTTTGAGAAGTAAGGTGCACCCAATTCAAGCCATGGTATTTCAACCTCATAGGCATCCAAAAGTTAAACAATGACTAAGGAAGACCTGTCTGCCTGTGGGCAACAGAATATGGCAGAAATTATAACATGCCTGTTCCGAGTCTAGGTCATAAGGGGCCTTGAATGCTTTTATGTTCTCTTGGAGATGTGTGAGCAACAATAAATGTTTTTGTTTTGTCTTTTAAAGGACGACGACATTCATAATTTTACCTTCCTGAATTTAAACTTCCCTATCACAAGAAATGCAAGGAAAGTAAAAAAATTTTCAAAATAATTGCAACAAAATCGGTAAGAAAAAGACGAACAACCAAGTGGAAATGTAGAAAGGTTTTGCTCAATTCAGAAGGAATATAATAACCCATAAAGAAGTGAAAAAGCATTAAGCCTCATTAACAATTCAGAAATGCAAATGAAAACAAGCTTTTACCATATGTCAAACACTATTTTCAAGCACTTCACAAACTATTCAATTTAATCTTCAGAACAGCATCTAAACTAAGTACTATTAACCTTCTCAACAAATAAGGAAACTGAGTAAACTGTAAAAAGCTCCAGGTAATAAAATAATTTATATAGCCAGCGACATATATCTAATGCCCCCAAAGGTCCTGACATAATTTTTTCCTAGCTACTATTACTAATATGAATGTGGTACATCTATCTCTCAGACATATTGGAGCAGATATAAAACTGAAAACCCTGATAGAAAAGTCTCAAGTGATGCTCATCTAATGGTATTAGAAGTCACTCCAGTAGTCAGATTTCAAGTGATTTCTATGTGCTTCTTGTAATGCTGTATTATCTGAGTTTTCGTTAATAGTGAATCAATATATTAAGAATTTGAGAAGGGGGTTGCTTACAAGAGAGAAAGTTAAATATTTTTTATCAATTTTATCATTCCATAAATACAAATTTTCTGGAATGGGAAAATTCTTAATGGCTTAAAAATTCAAATGTACAAGTAAAAGCATGACTACCCAAAAGGTACAATTATCTTTAAACAAATCTGCATAGCTAAGAGTCAAGAAAAATGTAATGTGTAATATCACAGAATTAAAACTCAATTGAAAAAAAAGACAACTGAAAAGTACAATAATCCAGTTAACACTAGACTTCAATAAAAAATTTTTCTAAAAACGAAGAAAACAAAAGCCATTAAGATTCAATTTTGCTCATTACTCTCTAATTAGGTGACAATGATTGTGTTAGTCTGGGTACTTTAGAGAAACAAATCCACAGAAATTCATGTCTAAGAGAGTTTTATATAAAGGTTAAGTGTGCATCAAGAAAACATCCCAACTCAGTGCTGCCCAAGCCCACAAGTCCAACATTAACCCATTAACCCATATGTCCGACACCAATCCATGAAGTCCTCCTCCATCTCACAAAACAGACGCAATGATGCCAATTGAAGGAGGAAAACTAAGTCAGTGAGTGAGAAAGCATCTCAGTGCTGGCAGGGGTCACCACTCGGCTGCTCCAGCACCCAGGGCTGCATCGGGGTAGGTCCATGTGGCTTCTCCTTGGGGATGGTCTTGCAGGAAGTCAGCCTTGCAAGCTGAAGCAGGGAACTGGCTAAGGCAGCTGCACCTTGGTCCAACCATCACAAAGCAAGAGACCCTGAGAACTCTAAAGGCAACGCTCACCGAGCCATTTATCCCTCTGCCCTTCAATTAACCCCACATGTGTTTATCAGCCAGGTTGGCACAATAAACTAACTCAATGATCACTACTAAATTCATTTTACTACTTTTCTATATATTAACTCTCTTACTGAAGAAAACCTCGCAAATTACATCTTTACGTTCAACGACTAATCTGCCAGATCACCATTAATAAGGATATTGATTCAATGTAAGTACAGGTAAAATTCAGCATTCTAGTGAAAAACTGGTTTCATCTCTACATTCCCTATTTAACAATGTATTTGCAGGGGGGGATGGGGGATGAATTTTTTTTTTAAGATAAAATAACTTACCCCATCCAAGAGAGTATTTGATAAATGTATTCGAAGATCTTTACGAAACGGAAACTCCAGATTTGAAACATGAAATACTGAATTATCTCTGTCAATCATAAAAACTTCATTTGTGCCATCAATCAACATCATATATCTGTAAAGGAAATATCAAAAGTATAACATTATATTAAAATTGAGTCATGAAGAATAACAGTTATTGTTTTTTCTTACACCTAAATAGCTTGGAAGAATAATATACACAGGATTCCCTCTTTCAATCATTCAGCTTAAATCACTGCAATTCTCACAAGTTTTTTGGATGTTTAAAATTTTTTCCCTACACAAAACAAAGTGTAGGGAAATCTAAGCTTTTAAGGAGACAATAGGATGGTTCAAAGAAAATAATTATTTATTTTAAACATCGGAAGTCTTCCAAATGTATTCAGTATATATGATATGCAAACATATAATTGCAGCTATTAGCTCAATAAATATACAAATTAGGTATTACTCCCTCCACTTTGCAATTTTAAAGAAGGAAAAAGCAAGTAATATACAAGTGCTAGAGCCAGGAATCAATCTAGTCAATGCTCGTTCCACTACATCACAGGTAGCATAACACCTTTATAAAGATACAAGATCCCTCCTCCCTCTCTTTGAATCAATTATCATGATATAGCCAGATATCACAACTTCAGTAGTGATTCCCTTTATTACTTACTATAAAATTGAAATATTTGAGTCATCTTAATTAGTATTCTCTACTTTATCTCTACGTTCTAATAGCTATTGCAATGGCTACACATAACTCACAGGCTATATTCATGATTAAAGAGTTTATTAAGGAAGTTAACAGGTTGTAATGCTAGTGAGAAATGCTCAGAATACAGTTGCTCATCAGCATGCTACAAAGTTCTTTCTAGTCTGCTAATAAATGCCCAAAAGGGCATACTACTCGACTATAAGCCTCAAACTGATGGCAATCAGCTCAATAAACCCAGCTCCCTGAGGTAAGTGCCCAGGGGCATCCCACTCCAGTCAATCTCAGTCCAGAGCCATACAGCTCCACTTCTGTAGGTCAAAAGTCCAGCTTCCCAATTAAGTGCCAAGAAGCACCCCACTCTACAAGCCAGCCTCCAGCACCAAAGTGCTTAACTTTACTTTTGCCACAGACTGGAAAGTCTACCACTCTGTTTCATGCTCCCAGTTCTGCGACTACTGTTCCTTTGATGTCACAGCTGTCTTCTGGATCGAGGGGGGTTCAATGAGCAGGGATCTTGGGTCCTTAAGACTGATCCACTCCTGGCTTTTGCTGGTAATGAGATCTTTGCTCCTGCTTCTCAAAGGACTCATTTTAGATGCAGCAGGATGGTGTTCCAGGGTGGCAATCTTATTAGTACCGCACTCTTATTAGACCCATGCAAGAAAAGGTCGTTTAGGTGGGAATTAGAAACTGGCTAGAAGAACCACATTACGTGATTCACTGCCCCTGCAATTTTAAACACAAGCTCACCAAAAATTTTATTAGTTTTGTATTCATTCTTAAAACTCACCAATATACATAAAAATTTATAAAGTTTGCAATCTATTATTCCTCAAAGTTACCAGCACTAATTCTCCAACACCTGATCATCCTGAATGCTAGTTAACTTCACCATCACATATAAAAATAAATGCCAGCGAGGATCAAGATCACACAGTGAGAGGCTATGTGACCAAATGGTAAGGAAGTCAAACTAGAGATTCTATCTAGATATAAAAGTTTTCAAAGAATACGAAAAAAATGACAGCTATGAAGAGGTTTACAAGGTTAATACACATAAGCATCTAAGGAGCAGGATCATTTGAAGTCGTTTGGTTTTAAATAAAAGTAGAAGAATAGGGGGTCTGAATATACCACTAGGAATTAAAGAGAATGCTTACCATCCTCTCCAACTTCCTACACAAATTATTTAAGGTATGTCTGAAAAAAGCAGCAACCACAAAAAGATGGGACTAACTCAAAAGACTGGAAGATTAAAAAATAATAAAATCAATGAAAGTTAATATATATTTAGGCTAATAAAGTAGATAGAGGATAATTTGCTTACTATAAAACAAGTACCCTACGGAGCAGTCAACATGTTCAAGATAGTGAGTTAAAATTTAAGTGCTTGATTAATAAAGGTATGATAAAGACCTGATCAAGATAAAAGGAGCTCTGATGGCACCAATTGCTACTATCCAAAATATTGATGGTTTGAACCCACCCAGCAACTCCACCACAGTTGCTTCAATACAGATTATGGCTTAGAAAGTCCTTGGGACAGTTCTCTCTCAAATGAGGTCTGAAGAGTCAAAATTGACTTGACCGAACCTAACAACAAAGGCTAAAGAGGACACAAAAGAGAAGGGAGAAGCAAAGAAGATCAAAGAGGCTCACATTTGGGGGCAGGACTATAAACACATTGTTCCCAGCAAGCTCGGGCCCTTGTTATATACTGTAGATGAGGAGAGTGAAGATGCCACTCGAGAAATAAAATCAGCATCAATCTAGAACAGCTGCATCTGATAAGACCCCTGGGCCGCGTGCCAGGTCAATAGGCAGGGAAGCAAAGAAAGACTTAGTTCCCAAGGCTCCTGCAAATGTTCTTCAAAAGCAGCCATTCCTGGGGCGTGGGGAGAAGTCAAACTTTCACTTAATTGTGTTTCAGAAAGAATTCCAATCAACAAAACGGAAAAAAATCAAAGTAATTATGCCATCTTCTGCAAAAATGGTACTAAAGATACAAGCCACCATGTTCCTTATAGACCTAGGCCAGTATTTGGAAACCTATATTCATTAGAAAGGTTTTTCATGGCAAAATAATTTCGAAAAACATTGTATCCTTCTGAGAAAGCTAGGATACATATTAGGATATTTAATATAAGATACTTAGAAAAGTCTGTGTGTATTATTTATCCGTTGCTTCCTAAAACTAACTTGTTATCTGTTAAACATTTGGTAGAACATTTGGTAAAAGAAGCCCTATTGACACTGTGGATTAGGCAGTAGGCTGCAAACCACAGGATCACCTGTTCAAAACCACTAGTCATTCTGCCAAAGAAAAATGAGGCTGGCTGTCTCCTCCACCACAAGTCAGAATCAACTCTGTGCCAATGGTTTTGGTTTGGTTTTTTTCATTGTTCTATAGTCACAATTTGAGAAAAGTTAACTCCTGCTAATAAATTTTAAGAAATCTAAAAAAGTAAGTTTTCCTCTTCTAATATGAAGATGACAGGAATTATATTTCCCCTTTTCACTGGCTGCCTAGCAGCTCAGAATTATATTTAATGTTCAAATTGAATAAATGCTAAATCCCAGGGCACTGGTACATTTATCTTTTCATAATCATTTATTCAATATATTTATGTTCCTTGCAATAAAAGACAACCAAGGAAGAAAAAAATTGAGAGAATACAATCCACAAGGATTGATCATGGGAAACAGCTTGTATCTGTAGAGATAACAAAGAAACTATTTCATAGCTGGTATTCAGGGATTCCTTTGCATATATAAAATTTTAAACACTGAAACAAGAATTCTGGGCTCTGTTTTTTAGCTTGAACTCCAGTCATTCCAAATCATCTATTCTTTTGTTATATGACACAAAAAGTAGCAAGGTTCACTTCAGGTTAGGGCAGGAAAATAGGGAATGTGGAAGTATTTCCACAATATTCAAGTCCCTGAAAATAATAATATTCTTTCAAAAGGAGGCAACTATCCCCCAGACACATGGATTCACTGGTTCTAGATATAACTATTGTTCTACCTTCAGTTGACATGAGTCTTCAGTGCAATATAACTTCTTATTGATTAGGAAATTCCTCAATTGTAAATTAAATATTCAGAATTATTAGTTATTTATTCTATCTGTATTGGACCATGGTGGTGTAGTGGATTATGCATTAGGCTTCTAACTTCAAGGTCAACAGTTCAGAGCCATCACTTGAGTAAAAGAGACATAAGACTAATTTAAGTATTATTCATGGGAACAGCAGAGGTATTCCTGTCAGCAAGGGACCAGGAAAGAAAGTACCAAAAAATGACTTCCTACTCAAAGTGTTCCTGAGCCTTACCTCAGCTTTAGATTTTGCTGCCTGGCTTAGGATTTCTACCCATTTGCTAAGACTGGTTCTCCTGAAAGACTCCCATATAATCTTTTGCTTAAATTAGCCAAAGCTTAATTCTATTGTCTGTAGTCAAGAAAGCTAAATAGATACACTGATTTGGGCTTTACTTTAGTTAAATGTGAAAATGATATAGCCACAATTATGTCTCTAAGATATCCCCAATACCAAGTTACACAATAGTTACAAGCTTCTTATATATTAACATCAGGCTAAGAGACATGCCATCTATTGCCCATCCTTCACTAAACAAGTACATAATGCTAGGCCAGGATTTGCTTTCTGTGTTTCTTTTCTTTCGCAATGATTCATTACTAAAACATCCGGTTTCTATGCCACTTATATCTCCTCTTATCTCTCTGCCCGTTCCCCGATTCCCAACAGAATTGACATACAAAAGTCTAAACGCTAATTCTCAAGAGTGTAAAAGTATACAGCAATAAATTTCCTATAACAAAAACTCAGTGTTTCGACCCACTACCCCAGATATAATTTATAAACTTTCTTGACTACAGTGCAGTATGTTACTTGGTATGGACTTCAAGCCAGACACTACAATTCCCACCAAGTGACTGGGTAGTATTAGGCAAACAAGGTGTTTGGAGGTTAGTTTTGCCATCCCACTAGGCTTAAAATAAGCCATCCCAGAAGCAGAAAGGTTCTAATTATCATCAGGAAATAGCCAAAAGTGTAGTTATGTATCCTTTTGACCCAAGATCCCTTTCTGAACCTCCTTGATCCAGGAGACAGAGGGCAGAGCTATGACATCAGCAATGATGAGCAGAGGAAGCAGAATCAGAAGACCAACAGGAGATGGCTCAGTGGCTTCATAGACCATGGAGGGAGAAAGTTGAATGCCTTTGGGAGGATGCTTGCTGGCAGAATGAGGCTACTCTCTCTGAACATGCAATGGCAGAGTTAAAAGAGCTTTATATCACTTGTCTGAGATGAGTAGATAGATGGGTTAAGCCAAGGAGCTGAAGGTCAGAGTAAAAGTGACACAGA